TTTCCATTTCTGACTCCGATTTTATTTGGGATATTGTTTTTTTCAAAGAAGCCATGCTAGCTTTTTGCAGTGCTAAATACTCTTTTTTTAAATCCATCCATTCGCTCCTGCAAAGAAATAAGTAAACTATTGAAATAGAGACAACAAATGACTAAATAAAAAGTAAGTATGGAAATATCTAAATATATGCAGTCGCAGTGGCTTACAACCACTCCTCCCTACTTTCCTGTTTCTTTAAACACATGTATTTCCTGGGTTCTAAATCCAGCTAGCACACAAGCGAAGGGAGGTCCCCTTCCCCCACCATTCAGATTAAATGTTTTAACTTTGCCAATTAAAATTTTGAGTGTTTGATATATTTTATGAAAATAAAATTTTAGCATTAATTCTTTGATTGACTAGTAACATTCACTCTATCAGTCATCTCTGAGGGAAAAAACAAGAGATTTAAGATTTGTTAAGCTGCTTCCAATTTAAGAGATAACATTCCTTAGTATTTACTTGAATCAAAAGGAATTTCTGAGAAGAAAAAAACACCCCATGGAAGCAATTTATTTATTTACATATATTTAACATGTAGATGTTTCTTCAAACAGCTAGAGCTCCTCTAAATAGAAAGACAAAGCCCCTCCTGGCTCTGTGGGAGCACTCATTGTTACCCTAATCTATGCCATCAAACAAGCAGATAGGAGATTTTTTTTTTTTAGAGGAGGATATCTTGTGGTAATGGTTTTAGCTGTTAACATTGACATCTGTATACTTCAAAAAAAAAAAAAAAGTATCCAGACCCACCCAGGATCATACATTCCCTGAGAGCTGATACATTAAAATAACAAAAGGCTCTTGTAATGATTCTCTGAGATAAAAAGGCAAAAGGAATTCAGGAGTTAAGAATAGTATAAATAGAAGAGCCTGAAGTCCTGGCCTTTTACTCATCTAGAGGAGACCAGGAATCTGGGGAAAATGAATCAGGGAAGGTAAAGAAAATCTGTTCTCTAAAAGGTATGCGGTTTTTTGTTTTTTCTGCTTAGCTTTCACCCCTTGGGTCCAAAGAAGTTTTACACGGGTGGGCTCCCTTCAACTTTAACATGGAGGTACTTTCTGTGGCTTTTAGAGTAAGTGCTTCCATGTTTTAGTAGAAGTGAATCCAACTTCTTTCTCCAAAGCGGAACACGCTGACTTTGCTAACGTACAGGAGTTAAAGGGGGATCCCCTTTGCTTTAACATGGTGGTACATGCTGTGTGAATCAAAAGTAAGTGCTTCCATGTTTCAGTGGAGGTGTTTCCAAACTGAAACAACTTTATTATTTTTTTGTTATTAATCCTGTTATAAGATTTTGTTACAGGTTAAAGGATTCCACATTGTTTTCCAAAGACTGGGCTCCCCACCACTTAAACGTGGATGTACTTGCTTTGAAACTAAAAAAGTAAGTGCTTCCATGTTTTGGTGATGGTAAGTCTTCCTTTTACATTTTCACGAGCCTTCAAAAGTACTTCCTTGAATTGCCTGTTTTTAGGATATTTAAGCTGTATTTTGTATTTGTAAGTCTATGAAGGGGCCCCCTCTACTTTAACATGGAGGCATTTGCTGTGACATGACAGAAATAAGTGCTTCCATGTTTGAGTGTGGTGGTTCCTACCCAATCTTCGATTGCTAATACCCACGCTGTGCACAGACAGAGCCTGGCTACAGCCCATTACTGTTGCTAATATGCAACTCTGTTGAGTATAAATTGGAATTGCACTTTAGCAATGGTGATGGATTGTTGAGTCCATTGCCAACAACAATACGATTTACAACACACACTTACTTTGACAGTACTCTTAATGGTATAACCTCTTCTCCCATTTTATGTCTCTCTTTATGTTTTTTCTTATGTTTCCTTTTTGTTTTTAAGAGAGAACCATCTTTTATATCTCCAGTATCCTTTTCCTCTTCAGTAGAGACTTCTAAATCTTAAGGAAAAAGAAAAGCCAGTTGAGACGTGTATGTGTGGCCATTAAAGGGGTGAAGACATAACCTTAATTTATCTAATCCTTACCTCTGTTTTCTTTGGAAACTTCTGAAGCTTCTTTTTTAATGGTGTCTTTCTGAGCCGTTTTCTTTACTTTTGATCTGGGAGTTGGGCATTCTGCATCTTCAGAGCTACTTCTCTTTCGCTTCCCTGTTCTGACTTCAGGTAAGCTTGATACTTCAACTCTTTCTCGTTTCTTCTTTTTCTTTGATGGCTTATTTTGGGGTTCAGTGGTTTCTGTTTCGGAGCCCTCGGATGTGGTTCTCGATCTTTTCGTCTTACAAACGCTCACGTTGCCTGTGTCCATGTTTAACTCTTTCACCTGGACGTTGTCTTCCTTCTTCATTCGGCCTTTCTTCTTCTTTTTCTTTTTCTTTTCTTCTGTAACAATTCTATCGTCAGCTCCATTTTACTTCAACTAGATCTGTTTAAATACTTAATAAAGTAAATACTTACCAGCTACTCTTAAGGATGGAATGGGCTTATTTTTTACTGTCTTAGGAAATATGCCAGGTTTTCTTGGTGCTTCTTCTGGTGGGTTGTTAAGAAACTGAAATGATTGCAAAAAAGTTATTAACTTGCTAAATTTTTTGCTTTTGTTTTTCTTTTTAGAATGTGGACCTACCTCAATAGCTTTTGCTGCTTGTTCTTTTGTTTCAAATTCCACAAAGGCAAACCCCTTTGGATCTCCAGTAGACTTATAATGTGGTATACTTATGTAAACAACATTGCCACATTTACCAAATACTCTTTCGATCCAGCTGTGATTAACGTTTTTGGGAAGTAACTCCTGGGATAAATTAAAAGCAGTATTAAAGATTTAATAACTCTAGCCTAAGCTTTTCACAATCCCTACACCTTATTCAGAATGCCAATAAATTTTAACTTAAATATTAATGTTTCTGTGTCACTTTTTGACTGGGGACCTGGGCTTTTCTAGAAAAATAACTTACCACGTACACCGTCCGCTCATCCTCATCCTTTGGTCTTTCACCCAGAGGCTTTTTCCTCCTGATTCTGGTGCCTTCTAAATCCAGCTTTAAAATAGTACATTATGTTAATCAAATTGAATATAATTATGGGATATAATAAAGTTGTAATGATTCTTACCTCTACAACGGCTGAACTTTTCAAAGCTCTGGCTATTAACTTCCCATCAGTGGTTAATTTTTTCATTTTGTTAAAAGATACGAGAAGTGATATATCAACGTCTAATAAAAATAAACAAATAGCAGTAAAACTAAAGCAGAATAAACATAACTTGAAATTAATTAATTCAATTTAATCAGTTTTGAGCTTTTTCAGGCCTTATAGACCCTAAGCCATCATACATATACAACACTGTTTTATGTGTAGGTAGGTGTGTTGGATTTTTTGGCATGCCTAAAGACTCAATCAGCAAATTTAAATTAAACTTCCAATCTAAACATGAGATAAAATGTAAACATGAATTATTGGGATCCTGTGCTCTTAGAAACCGGGTCTTTCACTTGAGATTTGGTTTAGGTGAAATGCCTTCTTTTATGAACTAAAGCAAGTATAACACTTTTAACTCTGAGATGCACATGATAAATGGTATTTAAGCAATTAAATCCCAAAGTCTTTTCTTTTTTTTTTTTGAGACAGTCTCATTCTGCCCTGGGTAGGGTGCAGTGGTGTCATCTTAGCTCATTGCAACCTCAAACTCCTAGGCTCAAGGGATTCTCCTGCCTCAGCCTTCAGAGTAGCTTAGACTACATGCTTGCCGCCAGTAAGCCCGGCTGGGCTAATTTTTCTATTTGTAGAGACAGAGTCTTGCTCTTGCTCAGGATGGTCTTGAACTCCTCGTTTTAAGCAATCCTCCTGCCTGCACCTCCCAGAGTGTTAGGATTAATGTCTTTATCAATTCTTTATCAATATGTCTTTAGAAGTATGTTACTGCTTTGGTTTAAAGTTGCTTATTTAACACAGTCTAAACTCTGAGAATAAGAAACTTCTATTCCTATCCTAGGAATAAGAAACAGATAAAAACATTTTAATTCTTTAGTCTGTGCTTCCTATTTGGGAAACTAGCACCAAACACTATTTAAAAAGTTATTTATCATTAACTAAACAAAATTAAAACATTGTAAGGAACATACTTTAAGAAATGGATAAAGAATAATATCAATATTACAGAATAACGTACTATTTTAGAAGTTAATTCAAAGACAGTACACATCTAAAATTTGGTTCTATTATATATTGAAACAAACTTACATCCATCTCTAGATTTTTCTATCTGTTCTCGAAGAAATCTATCCTTGTGAAGATTTGCGTCCCCAAACCAGAAGTCTACTTGCTTAGCAATGTCCGCAAGCACCTGTTTAACCCGAGACCGTTTCTTTTTCTCTACTTCCTTTTTCTTTTCAGTGCTTTCTTCTTCCATTGCCTTTTCTTGATTTCCACTTTCAGCTTCCATTCCTGTGAATTAGAAAACAAAGAAATAAATATTTACATCACCACAAGTAATTGCTAATATAGGAAAATACTTAGATTACCTTTTAATTGTCTGATGGGGATAATGGACTCAACGTTTGGCTGCCAGAAGACAAAACTTTTCAGGGGAACACTTGTCAGACATTCTCAAAAATCAACTGAGGAAAATTTCAGTGGCCTTTTGTTTTTTGCTTGTTGGTTTATTTTGTTTTTTTTTTTTTTTAGCTGTTCCTTGTTTACTTTTTATTGGCTTTGTTTTTTACTTTTAAAATAGTGTAACTCCTCTGTCAGCGATGACAGTTTTAGTTTTTTTGTACCTTTTTAACTGCAGGACAGGATTATCCTGGTGTAGTACAATATTTACAGCTCTCACCAAACTACACTTTGGAGTCAATAAATGAAAATGTGAGATTAAGGAACCCAGTCTCTATCTCAATAACCTCCCAACCCCACCAAAAGTTTTATTCACATTTTTTTTTTTTTTGAGACAAGAGTCTCACTCTGTTGCCCTGGCTAGAGTGGTGTCAGCCTAGCTCACAGCAACCTCAAACTCCTGGGCTCAAGCGATCCTCCTGCCTCAGCCTCCCGAGTAGCTGGGACTACAGGTGTGCACCACCATGCTCAGCTAATTTATTCTCTCTATATTTTTAGTTGCCCAGATAATTTCTTTTTATTTTTTTAGTAGAGACAGGGTCTCGCTCTTGCTCAGGCTGGTCTCGAACTCCTAAGCTCAAACAATCCGCCCGCCTCGGCCTCCCAGAGTGCTAGGATTACAGGCGTGAGCCACTGCCCATGGCCTATTCACATTTTTTAATACTAGAACCTCCAAAGGACAAAATAAAATAAATGGATTATTGATGTTTGGTTTTAAAATGTTAATTTCTGCTTTCTAGAAGCAGAATGCAATTGTTAAGCTGTAGAGTCAGCCTATGCAAGTGCTCTTTCCATCCAGTGTTTATTTCTGGCGCAGCAACCCTCTTCTTCCTCAAGTCACTTTGCATACACCACTTTCCCTTTGCTCTCTCAGCTCCAGCCACACTGGCCTTGCTCTTCCTAAAACTCACCCAGCAAACTCAACAGAGGGTCTTTCGAAACAGGAATCCACAGAGACAACACAGCTTGCTCCCTCGCTTCTTCAAGTCTTTGTTCAAATGTCATCTCAGTGAGGTCTCCCCCCAAAATTAAATTTAAACATGTAAATTGCTGGACAGATAACTGGGTAACTCCTCTGCCTTGTTTTTCTCCATAGCCTTATCACCTTCTGATGTTATTATATAATTTATTTCTTTATTCTTTATTCTTCCAAGAAGGTGAGATTGATAAAATCACAGATTTTTGCCTATTTTGTTTACTGATGCTTCCACAGTGCTTGGCACATAGTAGTCACTCAAAAACTGGTTGAATGAATTGTGTCTAAAATTTGTTGAGTGAATTGAATCACTAGAGGTACATACACAAAAATTAGTGAATGAGCAAAGGGATTAATATCAGGCCTGGGATGATGCAGGCCTGCCTGAGAATAACCTCAGACTCCCATAATATGGTCTTGGAAACAGGAGTTAGGACAAATGGGTAGAGTTAGAACTGTTTCCTCTGTTGTATCTGGGTTGGAACAGCTATTAGTTGGCATGCAGGCCTTGGGCCTATGTGACCAGAATGACATAAAAGATTGGCAGGCAAAAGAGGCTAAAGCTTTTATGTGTCAAGGTATCCTCAACACAGTTTGGTCCTTATCTAGAAAAGACGTACATACCTGTTGTGGGTAAGGAGGCAAAAAAAGCAGTGGATTTGGGTACTTGCTGGATTTAGGTAAGTGCTGGGGCTGGGCCTCCTGATGAGATGAGGAAGCACTCACTCTACCTTTTGCCTTGTGTTCTTCTTTAAAGCTAAATAAACATAATATTTACACCTCCTCAGTCTTACCGTTGGCTATAATTTGTAACTGTTACAGTGATGCTGCTGACAGTAACAGAAATAGATAAGGTGTTTCAAAGGGATATTCAGCAAGAGGGTTACCTTAAAGCATTTCACCTCAAATCTCCAATTAAAGGTGTATTCTCATCAAAGCCAACAGAAGAGAATTTTGGCATTTTTAGGACAGGTTTCAGCTGATTAGCCAAGTACCAATTTTGAAAGTACCCAAGTAATGATATATTTAGTTGATGCCAGCTTAAGACTAAAATGCAGCTACAAGTCAGAATTAGTAATTTTTAAAGAATGAGGTGTCATTTGTACTAAATAACCACATTCCTCACCTCATACTCTCCTTCAACCCAACGTGTCAGGCTTTCATTCCCACCATTCTGGTGAAACTGCAAACAAAATCATCAACGAGCTCCGAGTCTACATGACCTTTCGGCAGCATTTGCAGTTGGTAACTCCCTCCTTGAAAACATTTTCTTCATACAGTTTCCTCCTAATTTCCTTTCACTCTATCACCCTCCTACTATGCTCTGCCTTTACATGCTGCCTACGGCTGGACTCAGTCCTGGGCTCACTTCTAATCTACGAATCCTTTCTGAGGGTCCTGGCTGTAAGCTCCTTGGCTTAATGCTGATGTTTCACAAATCTATTTTCTCTCATTAGCTTCCCATTCCAATATTCACCTGTCCACTCGACACCTCCACTAGTTTATCTAAAGGAAATCTCAAGGTTAACATGTCAAAAATAAAACTCTCATTTTTTTTTTTTTGAGGCAGGGTGTCGTTCTGTTGCCCAGGTAGAGTGTAGTGGAGTCATCATACCTCACTGCAATCTCAAACTCCTAGGCTCAAAGGATCCTTCTGCCTCAGCCTTCCAAGTAGTTGGGACTACAGGTGTACGCCACCATGCCCCGCTAATTTTTCTATATTTTGTAGAGACAGAGTCTTGTTATTTTGCCTACACTGGTCTCAAACTCCTTGGCCTCAGGCAACCTTCTGCCTCACCCTCCCAGAGTGCAAGGATCACAGGCATGCGGCAATGCTTGGCCAGAACTCTCAAATTTTAACAGATCTATTTTTTGCCTAGTTTTTCACATCTCAGAAACACCAATTACAAAATTGCCGAGAGGGCAAAAACCTTGAAACATGTTTAATTTCTCTTTTCTTCACAGCCTGTAGTCAATTCATCAGCATTTCCATTAGCTCTGCCTTTAAAATATATCCTGAATAGGAACAGTTCTCATCTCCATCATAAGCACCCGGTCCAAGCTACTGCCCTGTCTTGCCTAAACTACAAGATCTTTCTTACAAATCTGCCTGCTTCTACTCTTCTTCCCTTCCAATCAATTCTCCAGATAGAATCATCATTTAAATATGTAAGTCAGATCATGAAAAATTTCTTGCACAAACTCCTGCAAAGGTTTCTTATCACACTCAGAATATCTAAGTCCAAAGACGGTTACTGTCGTCTACTAGGCCCTATATAATCTGGTCTGGTGATATGTAACTTCATCTCCCACAGTGCTTTGCAGTAGGCTCCCTTCTTTACACATGCTAAGGCCATTCATTCCCTGTCCTATCTGTATGGATGACTTCCTTTTCTATTGCAGTCTCTGCAAATGGCACTTTCTCAGAGAAGATTACTCTTTCACTCAATCTAAAATACTCCCTCCCTGTCAACCCTCCCCCTGTCCACTCACTCAGTCACCATTTTCTATCCTTGTATCCTCTTACCATTACCTGGAATCACAATTTTATTGTGTATCTATCGTACTAGAATGTAAACACTGTGAAGGCAGGGACTTCAACTTGATTACTACCTAAGCATCTGCTGAATGATTAAATATATTTAAAAGTACTTGTAAAATGTTAAGCATTTCAAATTCTTTTGTAAGGTGGTAGAAGATAAAATACAAATGCAGACTGTGATTATCACTACAGTGGCTCCACTGCTAGCTTTCTCTCTTGAAAAAACTATAAGTTATAGAGCAAAGACTACCTATGCTCCAATTCCTTTCCTTGTCAAAGACCACCATCTAACGAACAGTGGACAGAATTGCAAAAGCACAGAAAGTCACAATTATCCCAGAACTTTTCCCATCATTCTCATATTTCGGCCCAAAGATCCTCCCTTCATTCTTTTTCCTAAGGATTATTTTTGTGGTTTGGAGTCTAAGTTCAGAATGATCAAATATACCTTCGATTTAGAGGAAGATATGGATTAAACAGAAAGTAACACAAGAAATGGTGCAATTTAGCTCCCCTACACAACGACTGCAGAAAATCAGGAATTTCCATGGCAATACTTTTTTTTTTGAGACAGTGTCTCACTTTGTTGCCTGGGCTAGAGTGCAATGGTATCATTATAGCTCAATGCAACCTCAAATTACCTGGCTCAAGTGATCCTCCTACTCCAGCCTTCCAAGCAGCTGGAACCACAGGCATGTGCCACCATGTCTGGCTAAAATTTTTAAATTTTTTTGTAGAGACGGGGTCCTGCAATGTTGCCCAGGCTGTGGCAATACTTTTGGTTACAGTTTTTTTTTTTTTTTTACAGAGTCTCACTCTGTTGCCCTGGCTAGAGTGAGTGCCATGGCGTCAGCCTAGCTCACAGCAACCTCAAACTCCTGGGCTCAAGTGATCCTACTACTGCCTCAGCCTCCCGAGTAGCTGGGACTACAGGCATGCGCCACCATGCCCGGCTAATTTTTTCTATATATTTTTAGTTGGCCAATTAATTTCTTTCTAATTTTAGTAGAGGCGGGGTCTCGCTCTTGCTCAGGCTGGTCTCAAACTCCTGAGCTCAAACAATCCGCCCACCTCGGCCTCCCAGAGAGCTAGGATTACAGGCGTGAGCCACCGCGCCCGGCCTAGTTACAGTTTTGATCCTCAGTGTCCATCTTGTGATAATAGTTATGTGTATCGTCATCCCATTCATTCCAAATCAAATATATTATCTTTAAGATCTGTTCTTTCTACCACCCTCATCTTATTTAAGGATGCTATATTCCACCAAGTTAGCCAATCAAGCTATTTGCTAGCTGTGTGGATTTTGAGCAAGTTATCTCATTTCTCTGTGGTCTATAAAATGTGGAAAAAAACCATGGCTACATAATAAGGTTGTTGTGAGGATTAACCAAAATAATGTAAATAAAGTACTTAAAATTGCTGCCGTATAGAACACACTCCATAATTTGTAACCATTATTATTATTATTTACTGATTTGTCACTAAAGCCTATCAATTCAAAGTTGAAATGGCTATCATCTGTATTCAGTGTTTTCTACGACTACTGTCACGAGAATATAGCAAGTTTATAAACTGTTCTAGAAGTCATCCATCCTTCACAGAAGCTTATGTGTAAATTGTCTAAAACACAGATCTGGTTTTGTGATGTTAATGAAAAAACTTGCAACATTAGAAATTCCTTTTCACCTTCTTTAACATAACATGTATTCAAAAAAATTGTTAAAAAAAGTAACATTTAACTGGCTTCTAAACATGGGCTTTAAACAAAGAATAAAAGTTACTGTGCAACAATGCCGGTTACTTTACACACATTGTTCTAAATCCTCACAAGCCCTCTAGGGAGTAGTTTCTTCCATCTCGAAGGTTAGGTGACTTGTCCAAAGCTAGCTACGTAAGTGAGCCCAGGTATGTTCGAATCCCACATTGTCTACCTTTCAGTAGAACCTCCTGCAACTTGTCACCATAGACCCTATGTTCTGACTCTGGAATTCTTAACCTGAAGTCCATGGAACTTTGGCTGGACAAGAATTTTTGTGAACTCCATTAAATTGTTAAAAGATATATTTTAAGATAAGGTAAAATAATGACTCTTGTACAAATATAAAATGAATACACAGTAAAGATTTTATTTAAGTACAGTCATGGATTGCTTAATGACAGGGATACGTTCTGAGAAATGCATCATTAGGCGACTGTGAGGTACATCATAGATTGTACTTACTCTATGATGTACTCACAAAAACCTACATGGTATCTATTACTACTACACCTATAATCTCATGGGACCACCATTGCACATGAGGTCTGTCCTTATGCTGCATGCACTTGACCATACATGAGGGAACCAGTTAAGTGTCAAAAATCAGTTCGAAGAAGAATTCAAAAAGCAGATACATATATAGGCGATCGGGAACTCTGAAATAAATGCTAACAGACACTGGTCAGGGTAATAGTTAATTGCATCTCTACTGGACAAACCTAACTTCCATTTTTATTGTTTTCTACAAGTTACAGAGTTGTAAAATAGCTCCAAGACAATGAAAGGCACAGACGACCTGGAAAAGTGAGCTAGAAAAGACAACAACCAATTTTTTTTTCCATTTCAAAGTTTTTCACAATTTTTCCTGGTAAAATTCTATGCAAAATGTTTTGATAGTTACGTGCACATTTTCCTGAAAAGCTCATCCTTAACTTTTATCACGTTTTCAGAACTACTGGTTTGCCAAAAAAAGGCTCAGAACCATTGTTCTTGTCACAGCCGACTATCCAACGGGCCGGAACACCTAGTTTCAAGGCCCAGGTTAAATGCCATCTGAGTCTTTGAGGCCTTCCACCACCATGTCTCTATTCAATTGTCTCCACATCTGTTTTCCCTAAGTACCTTTACTAACGCACTCAGTACACCGTGTCTACCACTTATTTGTTGGCTCTCTTGCATAATTGGATTTTCAACTCTTTGAGGACAGGGACTAGAAAATGACTTAATTTTAGAATATAAGTCCTCACGTTCACTATCCATTGGCAGTCAAGGCTCAACTCCAATCTGCGAAGTAAAACGCTTTTACCCCACTGCCTACCGCTTCTCTCGGCACTCGTACTTCCGCACGGACGCCGTCAACAGCGGGGCGTGCCCCAAACCTCCCAATGCCGGGCGCATGGCGCCCCCACTCGCTGGAAACCGGAACCACAGGGCCGCGGGCAGACTTTGCGCGTGCGCACAGAGAACTAGGCCAAGCGAACTGATGGGTGCGTGGAGGGGGCGGGGTGAGCGGGACCACGGATGACAGAATGGACTGAGAGAAAAAGGACTGAGAAGAATTTAGACTTCACCCAACCTGAACGACCCTGTAGGCCACTTGAACTTACTCCGTTCAATTCCCAAAATTCGGGGTCAAGCACTGCGTCCTCCAGCCCTTCCCGGCTCCTGATCCTTATAGTCGTGGTTACTCCCGCGTCATAGAACGAGCGACACCGTTCTCTCGTCCCAGTCGAGAAAGACGGGCCCGGAGGCTGCGCGCCCGCCGCTGACGTCACAGGCGTGGGCTGGCTCCGCCGGGGCGGGCTACCAGAGAACGCGGCCGGGTGGGGAGGCGCGCAGCTGAAGAAGAATGCGATTGGCGGTTTGAAAACGGCGGTTCTGGCTGAGGCGGAGGTGGGCGGGCCAAGTAGTGGGGCCTTATCTGGTGCTGTCGCGGGTTAATGACGTCACACTTTTTCGCGGGAGAATTCGAAAGTGGATTTAATGCAATTCGCTGATGAAGTGAGGTGTTTCTCGGGGTTTCCTGGGAATGAAGGGTGAATAGGCAGGGAGACTTGAGCGACTTGGGGCAAAGGGACGAAAGAATCTGCTCGGTAAGAAGCGGACCGGGAAGGTTGCTGTTTGGAACCGGGTTTGGGGTGACAGCAGTCACAACTTGCTCAGACTGCCTGTCATAATTGGTGCCTCGTCTTCACCGGTTTTCCTAGTCCCTGCTTTGCAATTCGGCGTACATACGAGGACCTGAGAGGGTTTTGTAGCTCGTTTTTAGGACCGACAAAGAATCAAGTCTCCAGCGTTATTTAGTAACACAGGATCATGGTTATTAGAATGTTGGCAAATGAAATGTGAGTTTCCTTTGGTTATTTGGACTGGATGAATCCTTAACAGGATGTTGAGTTCGTTATTCTAAACTTCGTAATCTGAACCATTTAGAGGTTCAGGTTTAGATTCAAAGAATCCTGCTCGTTCAAAAACAACAGGACCAAAAACATCTTGTTATTAACAGGAAGAATGACTCATATTTTTACTGAGAACACTGAGTTTTTAAAATGTGTATATAAAATATAAAATGTACATATAGCCACATTAATAATGTGTGTGTATATATGTACATAGGTATGTGTATATGTGTGTATGTATGTAATTATCTCAGAACATCTGAGGTCTCCACACCACTTTAAAAACTTCTTTGCAGATCAATCTTTCACCTATTAGAGGTGATGTTGGCTAAAACGGTTTTTCCTGTTTAATGGAAGCTTTACAGCTTTTCTACATATTCTACATAAATCTATTTAGCTTTCTTTTTTTTGAGGTTTAATCCTATAACCTAATTTACTGTCTTTGAGAATTTGAACCTCTCAGTTCCTTTTAAATTGTAAATCCCAGAAGTAATAGCTCTAATTTAGGAAAATAATGGTGAGTTTATCTTGCATTTCCTAAATAGCATATACATAATCCTACATTAGTAAATACTGGTTTCCAATTTGTAAATCCGATTTACAAATCCTGATATCTAGTTTTCAGGATTATGAGACTGATATGTATGTAAAGTATATGCTTGACATACTGATTACATACTATATGCCTGACACATAGTACGTACTCAGTAAATAATTATATAATGTAATATTTGTGAGTATGAGCACCAGAGTTTGAACTACTTGGTTTTGAATTCTGAGTCTGCCATTTATTTACTTTATGACCTTGGGCAAGTTACTTAACTATTATGTACCTCAGTTTCCTCTTTTGTAAAATAGATATAAAGATAGTACCTACACCACAAGGTTGAGAACATATAAAGCATTTTAACAGTCTAGCATATAATTGCACTGAATAAATGATAGCTATTGTTAAAGAGATCTGATGTTAATAACAACTGCCACATGCCAAGCACCAGATGAGAATACACTGCACCATGTATTCTCATCTACATGCACAGAATATCCAACCATTCAGTGGCTGGGAGCGAGTTGCTCCAAAAGCACCAGGGGTGATGTGTTTCTCTGGGCCTCTGGTATTCTTGGCATTCTTAGGCATCTAGCAATTCCTGGGGGCTAGAGGGAAGGGATATAGTATGTGGGAGTTATATTTCTGAAAGGCAATGCTTCTGTAGGTTTTTGTCCTATAACCTGTGTCCCAGGGCAGGTATGTGTATCTCATTTGCCCACCTTTCTCCACTTTGCACCCAGAGTAATCTTTGTAAAACCCAAGTCAGATTATGTCTTTTTATTCTTAAAATCCTGCCATGTCTTCCTGCTGTCTTCGTGGAAAGTCCAAACTCCTGAGCATAGCATAGAAGGTTCTCTGAATCCTATTACTCATTACTTACTTCAGCCTCTTCTCACCACTCCCTCTCTTGCTCTTACCCGCTAATTGTACTTCTGAGAGTTCCCTGATCAGGCCTTTACACATATCAATTCCTGTTTGGGAAGACCTTCACTGGCATCTTCCTTTGATTAATGATTATTTCAGCTTATAGTGTAGGCATTAGTAGTTACTTGAGGAAACCTTGTTTGATGACCCAGACAAGTTGGGTGCCCCTACTCTGCTTATTCCTGTCATAGTTTATTAAAATTACTGTTTATCACCCTGCTGTATTGAAAATTCCTTGAGATCAAGGATGGTATTTTGTTTCCTGTTTTGTAAAATGGATATAAAGATAGTATCTACCCCGAGAGGTTGAGAGCATTTAAAGCATTTTAATAGTCTAGCATATAGTTGCACTGAATAAATGATAATATCTCAGCTTAGCACAATGTCTGGCACATAGTAAGTGCTGAATAAATATATGTAATTTATAAAAAATA